TCGTGCAAAGTCAGAAAAGGCTGATGTGGAATACATTAGGGCTGGCTCCCGGGCGTCTTTCCGCAACATAGGGTTTGTAACAAAGCCGTTCTGCTTGCGACAAGCAGTCCGCGACAAACCTCCGCGACAAGCCTCCGCGACAAGCCTTTGCGACAAGCCCTTTCTTGGAACTGCATGGGTTTCGTATCTCTTTTTCAAGACAGCGCCAAACAGCCGCGACAAACCCCGCGACACACGTATGAAACAAGTGAGCGCGACATACGCATGTAACACAGGCGGGTAGCGTGACACCGCGACATACCCCTATTTAGAGCCACAACCATTTTGGTCCACTGCTGCAGCATTGCCGAGCGGTTCAAACGCGTAGCAGCTCGCCCCTCGGGCGAGACCAGCCAACCTGCCAGCGGCGGGCAGCCACTCGCCATCACTCGCCCATGCACTCGACTTGCACAACATGTTGCGCAAGGATGCGGGGCAGGACACGTTGTCACATGTCATGTTGTCACCAGCGTGCATGCAAATTGCGCCGATGCCTAAAGCAGAGGCATTTACCGCATGTTGGCCTCGTTGCACAACATACTGCGCGAGGGCGAGGTGTTCGCCACAAGGATCGAGGTGTGCGCGGCAGCGGCATCTTCCAGAAGCTAAGGGCAGCGGCAAGCGAAGTGTGCGTCGGTTTGACGACAGAATGTCCTATGGCACAAACCGTCAATGGCTTGGGACGCCGGCCGCTGCCAACCGCGAGTGAATTCTTCGAGCTGGGTTGGTTCTTCAGCATGGCAGAAAGCGAGTCGCCATCTTGGCTGGACTTTTGTCCAACACTTCCATTGTTCGTGAGTGGACGCTGGCCCATTGCGCTCATCACCCATTCCTCGATGGACGTTCTGTCCGTCACAGGTCTCAAGCCTGGCCATGCTTATGTGGTACTGCTGCGTGGAGTCTTGTTCACGCGCTGCGCTCTTGCCCCCTGTTTGTACCATGGCGATGGGCATGGACACACCTCTGCCACGTGTCTGCGGCTGTTGAGCAACGGCCTGATGACGCGTTTTTGCATTTGCTCATCTCACCGCAAAACCCGTGTAATGTCAGCCCACATGCACTTTGTGGCTGGCGTGTCAAACCCAGCTTTCATAGCTGGAAGGCTTGAATCTGTGATGTGAGGTGACCTATCTGCTCAGTCTGTGTATATATGTCGATATCATTTTTGTTTCACTTTGTGTGTTGACAATTGAAGCTCAAAGTTCCACACACATTGACGACCCGGAATGGTCCGGGTTTAGATGGTTTAGACCGGGCAACAACACACAAGTGGTTAGGTTGCTTGTTATCAGCAAGTTCTCACGCAGAAGACATGGGTTAGCACATCCAAACAGCTTTCAGAGCATTCTTTGCTCATCCTTACATAAACTCGATGTGGCCATGCGACGTATGCTGCGCTCGATAATCGGCTCTTTTTCCGGAATGGACCGGACCAGGCCGTGGCATGCAATTTTACATGCTTGGAATGCGCGAGTCCAACTGCTTGGTTTTGCGAGCGGATAACATCCGCACATGGTCCAACCGATGTCTGCGACAACATTGGAAATTGGCATAGTATGTTTTTTCGTTGCCACCTGCACGTTGGGTTCAGCGCGCTTTTAATTGGAACTGGACATCGGCGTGTGTTAGGCCGTCCAATATTAGCATGGGAGGATATGATTATGCGTTTTTGCCGCTGGAAACAACTTGGACATGGGCGTGATGTGGTCAGCCCGACCAAACCCAGAAAACCAATGCAAAACAATAGAAAAGCGGATGGTGCTGTGGTTCTGGCGTGGTGATACTCGTGAGCAAGCTGTCGCAAACTGGGGGTGGCCAAGCTGGTGGGGCTACTTCACCGCAAGCTGAATGGTGCTCCAACAGGAGCTCATGGTGCTGTGGAGCCGCGGTGGCGCGTGGCCGAACTGTTAGCAGAGCTGACGCAGCCTGCGGGTGCTGAGATTGGCGTGGTGCTGCTCGTGAGCGAGTTGTCGCAAGCTGGGGGTGGCCCAGCTGGTGGTGCTGCATCGCCGCAAGGTGCTGTGGTGCAGCGGTGGCCTTCTTTGGGGGCGAGTTGGCTAATGTGACCTCGCAGCTTCGGCAGGGCGGGAGGGACAAAAAACAGAAAACGAATGGAACACCTGCTTCCCCTTGTTTGGGGGGGGGGGGTCGATAAATGCAAATTGCAAATGGGGGGGGGGGGGGGGGGGGGGGGGGGGGGGGGGGGGGGGGGGGGGGGGGGGGTGTTAAATGCAATGCACATGGGGCGACGTGCCTGGCTCTGTGCTGCAAAGCCTGCCATGTAGGTCCAATGTGTCATGGTTGCAGGATCACTCTTCAAGATTCTTCAAGGAGTCCACTGGACTTTGTCTCTGAACTAGTTTTGCCTTTTTTTGGCTTAAGTCCGCCGGACTTTCGCCAAAACTTGTTGGCCTCAAAAATGGAGATCAAATGTCACTGAAGCATCCACTGGGCTTTTGCTGGTCTGGAACTTGAAAGCTGTCACATAACTGCCTTAAACGAATTTGCACAAGGTTCAATCCGCAACTGGTTGCGAATTGAACCCTGTGCAGAAACATGCATAAGCAAGAGAAGAACTCATGTTGGAAATGATGGGGCGTGCGCAAGGTTCAATCCGCAACTGGTTGCGAATTGAACCGCGCGAGGAAACAAGAAAATATTTCATCTTGGAAGCAAGGCTGGGCCGTGCCGACATGCTGGCTGTAGCACTTTCACCCATTTTCACCCTCTGACGTTGGGAAGTTCTCAATTGCATTTTTCCTTTGAGGCATGCTGAAACGACGTCCGAAAATGCGGATTGCACTTTTCAACCCCCCCCCCCCTCGCGGACATGGGGGATATAGAAAACAAAAAAAACAATCGACAACATATAACAACCAATGAAAGCCTCTCCCGGTTGCGGCGATATCGTCGGCGCGTTCGGCGATCTTGGCCTGCCCTCGCAAAGGGCTGCTGGCTCAGCAAAGACCGTCGAACGGGCATGGGTGGGGGTCGCGCGCGAAGCTGTTGGAGCTGACGGCCAGGTTTCTTTTAAGTTCCGCAACAATCCACTACTCCTGGCGTTGCCACGGGCGACAGACGCCGCCTCGACTTGGTGATCCACAGAGCAACGCCTATGGTGGAACGTTGTGCTGCTATGCGACCCTTGTGTCTCCGCTCACCCGCACGGGCCAGCCCCCCCTTTGTGCCGCCGCACGGAGTGGAGGGCACGGAGTGGAGGGCGCGGAGCAGAGGGCGCGGAGCGGAGGGTGCGGAGCGGAGGGCGTGGAGCGGAGGGGGCGGAAGGTGACTACCCCTTCAACCGGATACATCACACTGAACCGAATGTCAAAAAAAATGTCACGCTCCCCATCCGTGCTCCCCCCTCCTTGCCCCTGTCCCAGCAAAATGTTCCGACCCCTCTCTCCCTTGACCATGTCGTCCCGTGGCCTCAGGCGCCTTGTCCCTTCCCGCGCGCACAGAGTTCCGCCAGCACTGCGAGCCCCTGCGAAAGCGGCGTGGGCCCGCCGCTGGTGGAGCGTGCTCGCTGTGGCCGTCCAGCGCGCTGTCGGTCACACGGTGCTAGGGCGCGCCCGAGCCATACCGGCACATGCGGATGCGCCGGCCCTTGACGAGGTCATGGATCTCGCTGGCCCGGGAAGGGCCGAGCCGCCTTCCGCTGCGCTGACCCGGCCCTAACCCGGGACCGTGTGTTCCCAGGAACCGGATCTGACTGCTGCTGGCGGAAGAAGGTGTGTGGAAAAAAACCGTAAGGGGCATCTAGCCTACAAACCCGCATGCGACTTGAAACCGCCTAGAACCTTAGATTTCCGGTTGATTATTTTGGACAAGTGACATGCAGGAGGCTGCCAGCCCATCTTCCAGCCGCCGCGACGTGACCCTTCTGCTTATCAAGAAAGTCAAAGTGCTAAAAAAACAAACGCACACACACACACACATACACGCACACACACACACACTCACACACACACACACACACACACACACACACACACACACACACACACACACACACACACACACACACACACACACACACACACACACACACACACACACACACACACACACACACACACACACACACACACACACACCACACACACACACACACACACACACACCACACACACACACACACACACACCCACACACACCACACACACACACACCAACCACACACACACACACACACACACACACACACACACACACACACACACACCACACACACACACACACACACACACACACACACACACACACACACACACACACACACACACACACCCACACACAACACACACACACACAACACACACACACACACCACACACACACACACACACACACACACACACACACACACACCACACACACACACACACACACACACACACACACACACACACACACACACACACACACACACACACACACACACACACACACACACACACACACACACACACACACACACACACACACACACACACACACACACACACACACACACACACACACACACACACACACACACACACACACACACACACACACACACACACACACACACACACACACACACACTTAGCATGGGTACAGGAAACAACCGCTTGTAAAGAGCTGCGGCAGCGGTTGGTTGCTGCTGGCGTATAGCATCCCTTTTGTTGTTGTCGCCATGCCCAAGAGCAATGCCTGCTTCCTGTTGTGTACTACATCGACTTACCAGACGTGCTTCAGGTGGACGATATCACCATCGACGTCCCCGGTGCCCTGCAGTCGCGCTTCAACGGGTCCAGAACAGCCACCGGGTTTGTATGGGCTTGTTTTGGTTGGTCTTTTTGGGGACTGGCGACCGCAGGTTGCAAGCCTTGTCTAATTGACAAGTTCCAGGGCAAGAGGGTGTCACTTACCTCCTCCCCCTCTCCCGCTACGCAGTGGCTGAGGCATCTTTCGGCATGCTGGCGGACAGCCAGGATATGCACGAGTTGATTCAAAGCAGCACGGCAAATACGTGAGGGTCACTTTTTGTACCTTTTGTGCGATCTTGCGTTAATGCCTTGCTACATGTCTCAACATGTCTCAACATATTGCGTGACTGGCACTGTTCGTTTTTGTTGCCTTGAGCAAAAGATAACAAGAGTCGTTGATGTGTCACGGTTGGATGCCCGCCAGATTTTTCGTCTGGACACATGCGGCGGGAATCTACGAATACAGCGAAGATTGGTCTGAAAAAATATGTCGAGGACCAGACATTCACATGTGGCAGCCGCATGTGTGTGAGTGTGGCATGCATGCAAGTTGCGGTGGTTTGTTCTCACCATGGCAGGAGGAGGATATCAAGGAAACCATGGTCTCAAGAACTGTGCGTTTGTTCACAGGCGCGGTGGCGTTGCCGTGCAAGTCTTGCTGGCACCCCAAAAACCTTTGCAGGGCCGGACATTGACACGGCGACCGGCAACAGCATTGTGAACAAGGCCGGTTTGTTGCCACCATCGAATCGGCGTTCACATCAGACAAGGGGAACATGTCCCGCAGTCGGCTGCAGGCCCGGCTCGCCGCCGTGAATTTCGCAGAGTGGTGGGATTCCTTGCTGGAGCCGGAACGCAGCGGCCGTGCGCAAGACACCCTAGCACCTGGGATTATTTCAGTGCATGAACGAAACCCCGAAGGACACATCAGTGCACGCGTAACAGGGCATAGGGAAGAGAACCAAAACGGGTTGACATTTGGCTCGATCCAAGTTAGGAGACGTGGTCCAAGAATAATTGGCACTCGAGCATGTCGTGTTTTGCTTGTCGTGCCCCTGACAAGGCCGCACAAAAAACATTGTGAAACACTATAGACTATGGGCCTGAGCAAGACTGCCACATGCGGCAAGTGCCCGATATCACACGTCGTTTTGTTTAGCATGTTGCTGGCAGCTTAAAAAGGTAGATGTTTGCAGCACTCTACCCAAAAGAAATCGCTGCTGGGTGGCCCTGCTAAGGGAATGGCTTGAAATTAGTTCTGAAAAGACTGGACGGCATAAACATGAGAATGTCAGGAGTCATGCACATTCTCGGGGTTCCGGACCTGAATCCTGGGCTGCCCATTAGGTTTAGGGTTTAGGGTTTAGGGTGAACTGTTGAGACACTTCGTTTTGCTTAGCTGATTTGCATGGAGCATTGAACGGAAAGGTCCGAAAAGGATGAACAGGGACCCGGCAAACAACGCCTGATAACTTGCAGCATGGGGAAGGGCATTTGGCCTGCAAGTGTGTGTTTGCTTCCTCCCACGCCGGTAAGGAATCCAGATGGTTCCGGATCATGTCCGCCATGGCACCATTGCCGCATAATAGAGGCGGAATGACGAGGATGCCCATGCCGTATGTGGAAGCGCGTGTAGGAAGAATCCTGTCTCAGATCCGTCAGGGCCTAAAATGTTTTTAAACTTTCTTCACCAAGGTGATTGTGGTCAACGCCATTGTTGTGACCTGGTTGACCGACTGGAGCTTGCAGCACAGTGGCCGCAGCAACTTGGCTAAATGCACTAGTTATTGGTTGGTTGGTACGTCTACCATTCCGAAGGGGCATGTAAATGCAGGGCATGTGGGCTAAATGCATCAAGTCGTATCAAGTCATTATAGGCAGACATGAGTTGCAAGCCCTGCCAAGACATGCCTCCGGGGTTCGAGATTGTGGACCTCGCCTTCTTGCTGTTTTATGCCTCCCTGCTGCACAATTCTAAGACAGAGTTTCCGCTTGTTTGCTGGCTGCTGTTTTTGATTCTTCGTCACTGTAGCGTTGCCACAGTCGCGTTGTCGCATGTGAGTTTTTCGATTCGGTTTTGCATATGTACTGCCAGGCCTTGGAAATCGCGTTGAAGTTTTACGTCCACCGAGGCCGGCACATGTCGGTACATCCCGGGACAAGATTGTCTCACGTTACCAAGTCGCTAGCGGCTAGCGAGCACTGCCAGATGCTGGGCCATCTTCGTGCGCCCATATCAACATCTTTCGGACAAGACCCAAAACACCTCTCATTCAGTGGCAGGAAGAGAAGGTAGGCAGGGCATGGTGTTGCTAGGATATTTCTTCGCGAATGAGAATGCCGCCTGGAACATCTTCGAAGCACGGCAGCACATTGTTCTTCCGGACACATGAGCTTTTCGGGATTGTCTGAAGCCTGGGTTTCCGCTTCAATCAGGCCACAAATTCAGAGAGAATGAATTTGTGCAAGAGCAAATTTGCAAGAGCCTTGACACAGGGCAGCCCAAGTACGGCCGGCGCAAGAGCATACAGTACACCGGCGACGGGCAATTTTCCCTGGGCAGCTTCTTTATCTTCTCATGATCCCGACACATGCGAGGACTTGATTTTGGTGATTTTCTCTTCCTTCGACGTCGCCGCCAACTGGCCCACGAGCGGCGAGGATGAGGCGCCGCCCAACAATCTGGGCTACATGACTCTTGGCGCCCAAAAGCTTGGTTGAAAGGCCGTAAAAGGCCATACATTCAGGTTCATGGTGTATATGGGCCTATTGTCACAAAAGAGAGCTGCTTTCGTGCCTCAGAACTGTTTAGACCTCATGACACTGAGAATGTGTGTGTGTGTGACTCGAGTAGGAGCGGGTGCACCCAGAGCTGCTGAAAGAGCCCGACAGCAAGTTTAATCCATGTTTGCCGTGAGCTACCTAGCTTGTGGATGAGCCAAGCGAGATCGAAGGATAATGTCCAGAATCGGAAGGAACAGGAGAAGAAAGAAGAGTTAGAATGAGACGCGAGACAGGCAGTCCCAATGAAAGCCAAGGCGTGTTTTTCGCATGTGCGGCACTAAGGGGACGGGGTGCGAGGGGCAAAAGTTACGTCAGCTTCATGTTGGTGATCTGCAGCAGTGTTTAGCATGTCCGGCATGATGCACATTAGTGTGGGTCATGTCAGCTTTCGCTCCTCCAGAGGACTCCACTAGCGCAGAATCTCGAGCAGACTTGTTGTTGCTCTCTGAGGTTTAAATTTGCCAAGATCTTGCGGACGATTCGAATAATCGCCTTTGTACGAGAGCCGCTGGGATCCAAGACTAACCCAAAACCTCACAGAGCCGCATGAGAAGCACCACGCTGTGCGATTTGAGAATGTCACGCATGACGCGTGAAAAGTTGGTTTTTGGTTGACTTAATCTGCCTGCTATTTCTATTGCTCCCTTGTCCAAGAAGAGAACAGCCGCCGTTTCCTTCATGGGTTCCGTACTGGCAGAGAAAGAAAGCAGACAAGCGAAATGAAGGCTTTCACAGGCAAAACAATCATGTGGTACCCTTAAACCCGAAACCCTAAACCCTAAAGAACAATCAACCCTCATGTAGGGACTAAAGGACTACTTTGTGAAAGGACGAGAGCCACCCTTCGCCAGCTTGTCCTGCATCACCTACTGCAGGGTCGACCAGCGCAGATTGTAAGGTTTGGTTTAGGGTTGAAAAGGGTTTATAGGGTTATAGGGTAGGTTGATAGGGTTATAGGGTTATAGGGTTATAGGGTTGTAGGGTTATACAGGGTTATACTGGGTTATATGGGGTTTATTGGGTTTATAGGGTTTATAGGGTGTATAGGGTTATCGGGTTATAGGATTTATGGGGTTTAGGGGAGTCACCCGTCTGGCAAGCGAAGGCTCTCGATGATGCTGGAAAGCCGCCTGGCCATGATGTGGGGGTTTAGGATTTAGGGTTTAGGGTTTCTTAGATCCCCAAATAGTAGGATCCCCTTATTATACGGGCCCGAATAAGGTACCCCGAATTTCGGAACCCCCCCCCAATGTTGTCTTTTGCCTGCTTCTCCTGTGGAGCTCTCCTCTTCGGTCTCAGCAATCCACGAGGGGCGGCTTCTCCGCCATCAAACCCTAAATCCTAAACCCTAAGCCCTAAGGCCTAAACCCTAAACCCTGGTGGAACCGAAGAAGATGGGAAGTAGCTCTTGGGGTTGGAATCTCTGGGCCTGCTATGGGGGTTTAGGTTTTAGGGTTTAGGGTGTTCAGCTGACGTACGGAGTCTGGGTTCAAAAGGGTTTTGGGCTTTAGGGGTTTTACGGTTTTGGTGAGGGCAGAATTGCTTGCTTGGAGCTAAGCAGCCCAAAATGCACGCTAATGGAAAAGTTTGGTGCTTGAGTGGCGCGGCCACTGGGAGCTTGAACGCCCCAAGCCACTTATTGCCACCTTGCCCTCGAATCTCTCGTCCCGTATTTACGACGCAGAAACATTCCCACATCGGAAGGCTTTCGGCAGTGCGTCATCGCGATGTTCTGGGGTCTGGTACTACTCCTGTTCCTGCTCTATGTCTTCGACGCTTGGCCGCATGCAAGGCTTTTGGTTTAACCGGCGAGCTGCCCCGAATTCTGTTGGCCCAGTGAACCCCAGCCCTAGCCGCCCTGGCCTCTGAGGCTGAAGGTGAGCCCCGAACTGATCAACGCCCTGAAAACCCTCTTTCAAATGTGCGTTGCAAGATGCTCCAGAAAGGCACTGGTGTTCGCACAGGGAGTCGCGAGCCACGTGGCCACGACACACGCCCCTCGGCGTCCAAGGCAGCAAAGCATGCTTATACTTTTGTATCTATGATCAAAGAACACCTTAACATCTTGAGCATCAGCCACCGCAACTAATGCATACCTATACATATATACATATGTATATATATATATATACATACAAGCTCACACCCTATGTGCTCAAGCTTGCAACACTCCGACGTGTTCAGCTTCTTTGTTCTTTGCGATGTACTCTCGCACCTCCTTCTGCTTGCAATGCTGGCAGTTTCCAAACCTTGCTGAGGCTTTCAAATGGACATGTCCTCTGTGTCCGTGTCTGCTCGTCCCCACACCTACTCATCGGAGAACACACCGGCAGCTTGAAAAAGGGTTCCGGGCGTTCCCAGATTTGGATGGGCCTTACCCACTCAGGCAACCGGAGACCTGGATGCAGACATAATGTTTGCCTTCGGCTCCGTGGGCACATCTATGTTCCTCGCCGGCATCTCTGTTCGGGGATTCAAACCCCATCCCAAGACTTGAGTGTTTCCACACAGAGCTGCAGTGAGGTCAGCTTTGGGGGCTCAGGACTTCCTCCAAATCATCTTGAAACCTGAAAAAGTAATCCACGGTAATCCTCAACACACTCAACAGCTCCCCCGGAAAAGAACCTGGAAGGCTGTCGCTCTACATGGCCGTGACAGGAGGCAACGACTGGTCCGTCTACTACGAGGCAGCTTGATCTGCAGTTGAGGGCTTGGGAAAGTAGGGCTTGGGCCATTGTCAGAGGTTGTTCTGCGTGCTCAAACCCTCAACCCTAAACCCTAAAGGATGACACGCACAAATCGAGAAGTGGCAAAACAAAAAACCCGAAACCCGAAACCCGAAACCCTAAACCCTAAACCCTAAACCCTAAACCCTAAATATAATTTGAACTTAGGCTGTAGTGCAACCTGACCTTTCTCCCCGTAGACGCTAGCGACACGGGTGGGAAAAGCCCTAAACCCCATGATCAACTGAACTCTTCCAAGACATCCCAGCCGCCCGAGGCCACCATTGGCATGGGCTCCTTCTATCCGCTGGTGTTTCTGTCCTACACTTTCTTCTTCATCTTCGTCCCCGGGCAAGACTCAGGGTACTGCTTGCAAGGGGCATTCCAGAATGCCGAGAAGATAGTGTGCCCACACTCCGAGACCGGAAGGGAAAGGCGTTTTGCAACACTGTCGCAGTAGCGCAGTTGAAACCGTGGAGCCACCTGAAACATCTTGAAGGTTTAGGGTTTTGGGTTTCGGGTTTAGGGTTTAGGGTTTAGGGTCACGACACGTTTACGAGCATTCCGAACGTCGCAGGCTGTGTGAAGGTCTGGAAACGTGACATCACCCTCCCAGGTAACGAGTAATACTTTTGCCGAGGTTGGGGGGTGGACTTCAGATTTCGGATCTTGAGGCCATACAAGACACCAACCTTATTAGGGTTTAGGGTTTATTGGGTTCTTGCCAGAGGCGCTCTTCAACATTCTCACGGGTGTCTTCGTTGAGCGTGCCGTGGCTGCTGCGCTTCCAGACCGTGCCTGAGCTGGCTTTAAACCGTGGGCTTTCGGGGTTCCTTGTTACCCTGGGGCCGGGCAGCTTTCAAACCCCTTCAACACGTCCCAACATCCAGGAAGCCTGTCGAATACTGTCCGTTCCCGTGAGCCCATTCAAGCAAAATCGAAACTCAAAGTGCAGAGTGTGTGGGACAGGGGGTTCAACACGGGGGGCCTGAGCCTTAAAGATTCGCTTTCGCCCAGGCGAGGAGCTGATCGCTCAAGAGCGGAAGAAGATTCTGCAGCTTGGGTCCTGAACGTCAGCTAAAGCCTAAACCCTAAACCCTAAAAGCAAGGCGTTGATTTCAGCATTTTGATGGTGTGCTCGGGTAGATCATGTCTCCCAACAGCGTGGTTCAACATGGCAGTTGCTCACATGTGCTGTCCGGTTCGCGATATCCCTCTGATTTCGCCGCCCAGGAAGCAGGTAGAGGATCTGCGGGCTCTCTTCAAGGCTTTGGACTCTGATCGTTCTGGAAAGATCTCGAAGGCAGAGTTCTTGGCAGACATGGAAGATGACCCAGGGCAGAGAGGCAGAAGTAAGTGTTGTTTTGACGTCGTGCATTGACGGTCGCAATTCTTTTGCGCTTTCGCCAATGCTACCCCAGAGCGCGAGAGAGAGACAGAGAGAGAGAGAGAGAGAGAGGGAGGGAGGGAGGGAGGGAGGGAGGGAGAGGAGAGAGAGAGAGAGAGAAAGCTGATGTGGTCCAATGTGACCACCGCAGGTGTTTCCGAGTGATGCGGGAGCGGGGTCGCGCATTCGCGCGGGAGTTTTCCCCCCCCACACCCCAAAGAAAGAAAGAAAGAAATAAAGAAAGAAAGAAAGAGACAGAAAGAGCGAAAGAGAGAGAGAGAGAGGGAGAGGGAGAGCGAGAGAGAGAGGGAGAGGGAGAGCGAGAGAGCGAGAAAGAGAGAAAGAGAGAAAGAGAGAAAGAGAGAAAGAGAGAAAGACAGAAAGAGAGAAGGAGAGAAGGAGAGAAGGAGAGAAGGAGAGAAGGAGAGAAGGAGAGAAGGAGAGAAGGAGAGAAGGAGAGAAGGAGAGAAAGAGAGAAAGAGGAGTTGTACACATGTAACCTACATGTTTATGCTAGACTGGAGGCCATTGCTAGCTGCGCGCGCAAAACGCCCAAGGCGACATGTGGGAGCCCACTCGAAGCCCTTCATCCCTAAACCCTAAACCCTAAACCCTAAACCCTAAACCCTAAACCCTAAACCCTAAACCCTAAACCCTAAACCCTAAACCCTAAACCCTAAACCCTCCCAACTCTGACGAGCCCAGGACAGGATCGTGTCTTACATGCACACCCTTGGGCTTGACATGCATGACGCCGAGCATTTCTTCGACTTGGTCTCGAACGACAAGAACGACAAGGATGGGGGGTTGCACCCTGTTTCCTGTAGGCCGTACGTTCTTCAGTGCATAGAGGCGAAGGTCTTTGGTCCTGGGTCTTGTGGTTGTTTAGGGTTTCGAGCTACTGTATACCTACTGTACCGCAAAAAACTTGCGCCTTCAGCGATAACCAGCAACGGCCTTGAGCCATGTAGCTTCCCTTGAAGGCTGGGGCTTTAGGTTTCGAGTATGGGCTTTCCGAGAACCTGATCACTGATGGGGTCGGATACGGGGGCGGGGGGGGGGGGTATAATCACCGGGAATCTTTCTTGTTCCGCCTTGGCAACATTTCGCAATGTCCCTGCTTCCTTGCTATTGTTCTTTTCGGGCAACGTTCGCATTATTCCGAGCCATATTGCAGACCAGAACATATTGCAGACCAGACCATAACAGCAACATTACAACGTCCAGCAATGCAGAAGGAAGGCTTGGGCAGCCTTTGGTGATCACCATGACCATAGCAGAAATGGCCCATTGCCAAGGTTTCAAAGACCGACCCAAGTTGAGCAATCCTAAACCCTAAACCCTAACCCTAAACCCTAAACCCTAAACCCTAAACCCTAAACCCTAAACCTCCCTGAGGAAGTCGACATCGACACTTTCATCGAGCACTGTATGAGCATGAAAGGCATTGTGGCCCCGAAAGGAGGGGTCTTTGAATGCTAAACCCTAAACCCTAAACCCTAAACCCTAAACCCTAAACCCTAAACCCTAAACCCTAATCTTAAACCCTAAACCCTAATCTTAAACCCTAAACCCTAAACCCTAAACCCTAAACCCTAAACCCTAAACCCTAAACCCTTCTTATGAAATCTGTTTTTGAGTCTTGTGGGGGCTGGAGAGATGGGAGGCTCTCGTCCTTCCAGGCTTCGGTTCTCATGGCCGGCTTCAAGTGCAAGGAAGTGTCGTTATCTTCTGAGCGAGGTTTAGGGTTTAGGGTTTAGGGTTTAGGGTTTAGGGTTTAGGGTTTAGGGTTTAGGGTTTAGGGTTTAGGGTTTAGGGTTTAGGGTTTAGGGCCATCTGCCTTAATCTGCCTTCGCTCGAAGCCCAGGGACAGCAACAGCCATGGACTTGCACAAGCAGATGGTCCAGGTGGGCTTAGGGTTTAGGGTTTAGGGTTTAGGGTTTAGGGTTTAGACAGCTTTTGGCTGCCCACGGGCTGGACAACTTGACAGATCTGCATGGGATGTGCAACTTTGGGTGCTCAGCGCGGTTGGGTGTCAGAAAGCTCTCGTCCTTGCACGCAGCAGGTTGCACCCGTAAGGGCCCGAATGCCCGTAAGCAAAGGCCCGTTCATGTTCAACCCACCACCTCAAAAGATCATCACTTGTTCAACACTCAGATCTTTCTGAAAGAGGGTTTAGGGTTTAGGGTTTAGGGTAGAATGGCAGGTGAACAGGGTGCTGGACAAGCTCACTGCTCGCAGCTCAGACCGGGAGTGGGTTTGGTCCTTTCGCTACAGCTGCCGCAAAACTGGAGCTTTAGGGTTTAGGGTTTAGGGTTTAGGGTTTAGGGTTTAGGGTTTAGGGGTGTTGGGTTTCGGGTTTAGGGGGTACCTTTCACCATCGCCCTTGTCATTCGATGTCTCTTATTGTTGTGTCGGCGAAAAGCGGGTGTTATGGCAGCGCGCGGCGGTTGCTGCTGAATCATCACATGAGCAGACTAAGTCTTCGTAAGAGTAGTACTAGGCACAAGCATCCCGGACCCCTCTCAATGTCCACTCTCCGACTCTCCAAGAAACGAGCACGCGAATAGACTGAATAGACATGGTGACTTGTCATCCTCTTAATTAAGGCCGACACTTTTAAGCACAACTGTGAAGCTATTCTAGAAGCTCTGAGAAACCCTAAGCTAAGCTCAATGTAAATCTCTGTAAGACGAAGCCATCCCTAAACCCAGCTTGTTGCAGGCCTGGGAGCTCTCCAATTGGCCGGAGCTTTTTGCTGTGCTGCAGGACACTTGGGTTTAGGGTTTAGGGTTTAGGGTTTTACATTGAGATGGATCGAGGGAGCGAGGCTTCAAAAGTTGATTTGTTGGAGTTGCTTGCGTTTCGACTGTAAGACCTGTAAGAAGGAGTTGAGGGATGATGGAAGAACGCGGGTACCCCCGATCTGTACCCAAGAAGGCCACTGAAGTAAGCCCAAGAACATCAAGCAATGCCAAGAACACAGGAGAAGCATCGTGAAGCCTCTTGAGATGATGCTGCTGGGCCTTCGGCGTCCGGGCCAGAGATTACAACTTTGCGTCTCGGTCTTGACGTGTGCGGCTATGTCAACGAAATACCAATCAGCACTTAGCGATGAAGGAAGCGTTCCGAGTGCAACTACTGGAACACCGAATCTCAAGTCTGGTTTTGTGTTCGGTCGGCTCCCGCTTGGTGGTCAGAAATGCGCTTCCTAAGTTTGGCATGCCCGAGTGCAGCATCTGGCCCAAGCCCTGACAACCTTTCATTCAGCGGCATCTGAGGAATTATGGCGCCGCTCTTGTGTCGGCAGCGTGAGCCACAGCAACCGCGCCAACAATTAGTCTCAAAGCTGCGCTCCCCCGCACAGCAGGGCCTCGACCCTGAGCCCGCTACCCCCCGGAAAGATGTTAGCGTAAGGTACCTTAGCAAGACTGGGTGGTATTACGCATGTTGAACATGTTGTGGTGGTGTTGGTAAAGAGGAGCTGGAAAGCCATCGGGCTGTGGTTGCGCAGTAGTCGCGGTGGAGCATTTCCTGGCTCAATGCCGCACTTTGTGGAACGCGCAGTCCTTCTGTACCTCGCCAAAGCGCAGCGGGAGAGAAGGCACCACCCATGGCCTTGTCACTATACAACCCCTTCCCCCCACCACAGAATAGGTGGTTTAAGGATTTGTTTTTTGTCCTGTTTTCTCCGGTACGGTATCCTGGCAAAAACGAAGCATGCAGAGAGCACCACTGGCGTTTTGGTCGGCGGTACCTGTAAGTTAGACAGCATTTGGAGCTATCGAAAACCATAAAGTCTGTCATTTACAGGATTCCAAAAATCAAACAAGGCTTAGAATGTTGTATTTATCAGGCCTCTGAGCCGCTGAAAAATGGGCCGCACTTCGACATGCTCTTTGCTGCAGTCTTGGCAGGTGCCGAGTGAGTCCAAATAGGTTCACGAATGCGAGTTGAGCCATCGGACGAGTTGAAACGCTGCCCCTAAACCCTAAACCCTAAACCCCTGAACCCCTAAACCCTAAACTCTAAACCCTAAACCTAAACCCTGCAATTTCGGGCATCTGGGGAGCTGTCAAACACACCACGAAAGATAGTAGCTGGAGCCCCCGCCTTTTTGGGAAACCTCTTGGAGCAACTTGTTGCGACGAACGTTCGTACATATCTGAATTTAGACTTGATGAAACGATCTACACGCTGAGTAGATCAAATCCTTGGGCCCAAGTCCCCCTTTGCTGGTAGGTCGCTGAAGCCTAAACACAAAACCTTTAAGTTCACATTGGCCCACGTGCCCCCCAAAGCCAAGATGATGCGTCTGCCTTTCGGGAAAGCAGAACCAAGCATTTCGCACTTTTGTGCCGTAAGACACACGCATTCTCACATGTTTTGATGTCTTCCATATGATTTGCTGCCTCTAAGCTGTTATCATGGTTTCTGAATCGACACGCCATCTCATCTAAACATCAGATGTTCCAACACTGGCTTCTCCACCACACAGCCTACCAGTATACATGCGCGTTCTCACAGCCAATCCAACAATTCACACATGGCTAGCATGTAAGTTGTGCCATCGATTTGATGCGGTGCTATTCATGCAAATCCAGTGGCCTCTGGTGTGTCGGAGGCCCTCTGCGGGCAAAAGAAGAGGATGAGGGGGGGGGGGGGGGCAAGAAGAAAACCCAACCACAATCCGACACCTGAGAGGGCCTCAAAGGGTCCTGTGAAAACTACATCATGCGGTCATCAGACTATGAAGCATGGCATGCTACTCCAAGCCACACGAAGCAGAGAAACTTGAAAAGAAAATCGCCAAAACCATGCTGGCACGTGGCTGCATAATGCCCCTAAACCCTAAACCCTAAACCCTAAACCCTAAACCCTAAACCCTGGTATTGTGAGAACAACAGGGAGGGGTCGAGGATTGAGGGGAAGCCCTGAGTTGAGGCTTGAGGGTCTAAGCTTTCCAGGCTTTGTTTCAGGTTTAGGGTATTTAGGGTTTAGGGTTTAGGGTTTAGGGTTTAGGGTTTGGTTTGGGTGGCTCCTTGGCCAGGGGTGCTGCGGACTAATGCGGGTAATCGAAACAATGGACTCAAGCGAATCAGGGCAGCTGGTGGGCTACTACTCCCTTGGAAAATTGTTTGGGGGCCTGTTTCGTACTGAGATTTTCCAAGGAATTTGAAGCAAGTCAGACACCAGAAAATTCCGGAGTTTCTTATTCAAAGCTATTTTTAGTTTTTGGCTCCCGGCCCCCCGCCCTTCATCCCCGGGCCGCGAACTTCGCATAGTTGCGGGTAACCCTCATCAATGGGGGGGGCCTTTATAACTTTTCCGGAAAAACGCTTAATAGCTACCTACACGGTTTCTTAGACCCTTGCGGCACCTTTATGGTTGCATTCTGTGACATCTCCCAGACTGGCAGCCCACGAAGGTCTTCTCCGCAGATAGCTTTGCTTTTCTCCCGCAGGATTTCTTCCCCTCTCCTATCTTGACATTGCTGAATAACTCGGCTCTATGAGCTCTACAAAGAGCTCTACACACGAGCAGAAGAGCTGCTCTAGTCCAGGTCCGCGGCAGCCGACAGTATCAGCACTGGTGGAACCACAAACTCCCTGGGTAGGAAAAGCATGGAAAAGCCATCGCCAGCTCCTAGATCCAATGCACAGCAAGAGAGACTTTCAGAACAACTGTTTTGTCTAGATTCCACACAATGATCGAGGCCGAAGTCCTTGTACTGTCGACCAGCCATTCCGCGTCTGCGAACAGAAAGTCTGGTCGTCCAAGTTCACTCGAGCCGACTCGCCGCCAGGTCAGCTGCCGAATGCAACTGCTCCGCGTTTCACCTTTTAAAGGTCGCCACTTCATGTGCAGGACGTCGGCCAAGCTGAGCGTCCTGCCCAGGAAGCATGTGGCAGTTGCTGGGCATACATGGCACGAGACCGCTGGGAAAGAAAAGAAGGTCCTCCTTGCCGTGTTCGGCTTGTTTCGCCTGCTTTGGCTTGTGGTGTCTGAGCAGAAGCTTGGACTGCTTTTGCATGTGCCCATGCTTCCGTTTCAGCCGCGCCCGTGCCTCGACACATTCTCCTAAACCCAGCTTGCGTGCAAACTCCTGCAAGCACTACACCGTTAGCTCCACCGCAAGCTTTTCAGGAAGGAGACCAGACTTTAACCCACCGAGATTTGGTTGTGTTTATCTTCTGCTTTTACGACGCTGAGGTGAACATGTCGGTGTGACATTCAGGTAGGTGCCTAGAAAATAATTCTTAGCCGAGTTTATACTATGCATATTATATATATATATACACAAGATCAGGGCAACCAAAGTGTGCGTGTGTGTCATGCTGCGCCTATCCCGCGTGCTTCGTGTTCAGCAACCCGGCCGACTCATGTGCCCAGCACTTTTCTGGCATCTCTGTATGCGTGATGTGCTCTGGTAGGCCCTCAAGCATGGGTGTCCGACTCGGAAAGGCAAAATCGTAAACTTGCCTTCAATTTCAATGAAAGGTACATGGATTGCAATCATCTGTTCTGTGGCACAGTTCTGCAGTGATGCAGTAGCACACAGGTGAGACTAGGCTCATTTGTTTGCACGTTTGTTTTGGAGCTCAGGCGATGTCCGTACACCATTTTGGGTGTGTCAGAATCTGCCAGCACGGAAGACATCAAGCGTGCCTTGCTCAAGCAAGGTTTGTTCGCAACTCTGAGACCTGAAAGGTCCCGCAACCGACAGAGTGTGTCAAGCTGTTAAGGCCAGAAGCTTCACCTGAAACCGACGTAGTTTAGACAGCCGATAACTTCTCCACTGGCCGGGGCCTTCTGCCAACGTCCTTGGCAGGACACTAAGTCACTGGTGTGTTAGCGCCGGTTGCGTCGCTTCTGAGTTGGGCCGTGCCCAGCTGGACATCACTTCCGAAGCAGCTCCCTCCCTAAACCCTAAACTTCCCTAAACCTTAAGCCCTAAACCCTAAACACTAGGGCTTTGGGAGTTGGGCCGATCCAAGGTGCTTTCCAGGAGAGGGCGAAGATCACACACCCAGATGTCGTGAAGGGAAAGGACAAGCACTTTCGTGAAATGGTTGGGGGGCCCAGGTGCTAGGTGCTGTTGCCTTGCGTATTGAGGCAAGTGTAGAAGAGCTTTGGCAATTGAGGGTGGTTAGTCCCTGAACCTCCCATACCCCCAACTCCAAGCCAAAATCCCCTACATGGCCCTAAACCCCAAACCCCAAACCCCAAACCCCAAACCCCAAACCCCAAACCCCAAACCCTAAACCCTAAACCCTAAACCCTCTGGGACAAATGGACGACCAGGTCGAGGCCTACCGCATCTTGCGGGATCCCCGGAAGCGCACCGAGCTCCTTGGCCTTGGTTTCGCAGTCTAGGGTTTAGGGTTTAGGGTTTAGGGTTAGGGTTTAGGGTTCAGGGTTCAGGGTTTTAGGGTTGAGGGTTGAGGGTTGAGGGTTTAGGGTTTGCTTACAATGTGCATCAGAATTCGGGGTGGGAGCAGAGGGAGGTCTATCAGAAGTCCATAGGAAGCCAATGGCATGCCGGACGTTTGTGACTTGTGCGTTGCCTCCCTCGCACGCTCGGTACTTCTAGCAAGGCGGCCGGGTGTCCCTTGTCAATGGGCTGGTGTGGGGGGTTGCCCTAAACCCTAAACCCTAAGCCGTAAACCCGTGGTTGGAAGGGGAACAATGGGCAATGGTGTCGGTTCCCTGTGGTAATCCTCTCCTGCTCCTTGGCGGACCCCGCTCCAGGATGCCGTGCGGGCCACCGAATAGTCAAGGAAACGGGCTGGCTGACCGGGTGGTGGGTACCTGGGACACTACCTGAACTCCTACCCATTCGGTTTGCCGGGACGGCTGCGCACGTCCGATTTCCAAGAGGCTCTGAATATACTGTTCAGGAACTCTGGGTCGACCAACCAGCAGAAACTCGTGCGCCGACCTCCTCCCCATAGACTTCTGGCACCAGCGAGCCTGGGGGCCTCCTCCGAAACCCAAACAATTCTGGTT